CACCAGAGGGGAACCTGGCACAGCATGGGTGGCACCTGTCAAATTTCAACAGCCCAGATGGTTTGGTGATGACCACAGACTTAATCTTGAGCATAAAAACATACAATTGGGGGTGCCTGGGTGGCTCAGATGGTTGCGTGTCTGCCTTTGGCTTGGGTCATGGTTCCTGGGGTCATGAGATCGAGCCCCACGTCCACTCTCAGCTCAGTGGGAGTCTGTTTCTCCCTTTCACTCTGCCTCTCCCCTTTCTTGGGCTCCCTGTCTCAAACGAATAGATTAAAAAACAACAACAACAACAACCATAAAACCGAGGAGAGAAAGGGCATCCTCTATATGCAATGCTTGCCATGTATCTCCTATAATCTAGATGTGCTCAAGAGCTACATTAATGGGTCAATCGGATTTATTTTTTGTGACAGATTTGTCTTCCAAAAATGGCCACAAAAGTACCTCCAGTCCCAAGTTCTTCCAGAACCATGCTACCCCACTACCGAGAGATGGAGGAGATGTGGAGCCTCTGTTCCTGAGAGCTTTCCCAAGATGTGTGGCTCTCAGTAAACTGGGGTTTTTGTTTTGCTTTTTTAAGATTTTATTTATTTATTCATGAGGGACACAGAGGGAAAAGCAGAGACACAGGCAGAGAGAGAAGCAGGCTCCCTGTGGGGAGCCCAATGTGGGACTTGATCCCGGGACCCCAGAATCACACCCTGAGCCAAAGGCAGACACAACCACTGAGCCACCAGGGTGCCCCGGGTTTTTGTTTTTAGATGAATGTTCCAGAGACAGAGATAACATAGTCCTTCATACACTGAACAGTGTGGTGGGAATACTTGTTTTCTGAATTTCACCCTGATCCTCACCCCCACCCTGAGAGGGACGGGCTGGGAGCTAATCCCCTGCAACACTGGCACTGACACAGGGAGTTGGGGCCTCCCCAAGGTGGAGGTGGGGGCTTCACACTGTCCAGGCCCAGCGATGCTGTGCTGGGGTTTCCTCAGCCTTGGAACTCACACCCCCACTCCTAGTAGTTCTTTAAATTATCTTGTTTCCTGGTGGCCTCTTCCTACTGGAGTGTGAGCCACAGGGGCAGAGGCAGGGGCAGGGCCTGCAACCATCCTGGTCTTGTCTTTAGCACTCAAGTCTGGCCAGTGGGAGGTGCTCAAAAATATTTTTCTAAATGCTGAAAGAATAAATGAGTTGAGGGAGCACGTAGAGATTATCTGGGCCTGACCCCCACTGTGGCAGAAACCTCCCCCGTGGTCGCCCTGACAGGTGAGAATTAGCCTTTCTTAAAAAATATTTATTTGTATATTTATTTATTTATGTAATCTCTACACCCAACGTGGGTTTTGAACTCACAACCCTGAGATCAAGAGCTGCATGTTCTGAGTGAGCCAGCCAGGTGCCCCGAGAATGATCCTTATTTTATTTTTAACATTTGTTTAAAAAGCTATTTATTTGAGAGAGAGAGAGAGAGAGAGAGAGAGAGAGAGAGAAGCAGACTCCCACTGAGCAGGGAGTTTGACATGGGGCTAGATCCCATGGTCTCTAGGATCATGACCCAAGCTGAAGGCAGACACCCAACCAACTGAGCCACCCAAACACCCAGAAATTACCCCCAAACACTTTTGGGAAGGAGAGATTACTGCCACAGGGCAGTCTATTCCATTCCATTAAAATAAAAAAAAAAAAGGCTTCACGTGATATCAACAATCATCTCCTCGTGACTGCTAATGATTGCTCTCAAGAGCTTTCTGTGTCCTGGCTGCCTCCTGGAAGGAGAGTTGTAGCTCACCATTATCCCAGCTCCTGGTGAGAAGGCCCTGGACAAATCACTAGCCCTTTCTGGACTCTTAGGTCTTTACACAAACCGGAACCACCTCTTATTTTAGCACTCTGAGGACAGTGATATACCTAAGGGATTCTGAAAATTTATGAAAGTTAAGAACTCCTCTTCCTTTTTAACCTAAAATGCCAGAAAATGCTGAAGGGAGCACCATTCACCTAATGACTCTTACTTTGGATCCATCAGGATTGGGGTTCCGTTTTTCTCCCATCTCCTATCAGGCAACATCATAAAAGCTCTTCTCTGATCCTGCACTAGACTCAACCGCTGGGGTGTGATGGGCAGTGGTTCTGTTTCAGCAGCTTAGAATCTTCCAGGGCAGTGGGTCCCCTTGAGGAACCTGCACGTCCCGTCCCCCACAAGACTGTGAGAGCCCGCCTTCTGGTGGCAAGTGCAGGAGGCCCGGGGCCCCGTGCAGAGTGGGGTTGGGTGTGTGGGGCCTGGCACAGCTCTGGGACTCTGGAGCATGTGGCTTCTTATCCCAGCTCAGAGGCCCTGTATTCTCTGAGGGGTCACGTTCTGCAGAAGTATGCTCTCAAGGTGTGGCCTAAATCAAAAGAACAAACAAGATGGCGCCTCAAAGGTCAGCTCCCTTGTGGCTCTTGTTTCCACACCCAAACCTTTGTCTTGAACCTGCCAGGAATCTTGCTTTGGGTTGCTTTGTCTATGTGGCTTACATGACAGCGAGGACAGTTCAAATCTGGACAAAAAAAAAAAAAAAATTGCCTCTCAGACACAAGAAATCATGTTTTATCCCAGTCCTTAACGAGGATGGAGGAAATCTTAGAATGAAATCCAGGGCTTCCCAGGATTTTCCCCTTCTCACTTAGCACCTCTGGGCATCAGTCTTGGGTCTTTTCATTTTAATGAACCCAGTGAACCAGCCTCCACCTTTCAAAGGAATCTGAGGAAACTTTCCTGCCAAGTCCCCACTGAGCGCCTGTGACACTCAAGAACGTGGGCCAGGCTCTTGTGTAGGTTAAGGAAGTCCAAGAAGAATAAAGATTATAGGGAAACAGTCTACCTTTCTTTACAAGGTCTTGTTTTGCATCCCTGAAATCTCAGATTCAGCTACTACAATGAAGTCCTGTTGCAGAAAGAGCTGGCCTTTTATCACCACTTAAAATCTAATTAATCCATATTGAAGCACAAAGATTTCTGTTGTATTTTAGGGTGAGGGGTCATAGAGCCCTCTTTGTTCATCCTTAGACTTACAATCATCAAGTATTGGGGATATAATTTTACCAAGCAAATTGGAAGGTAACAGATCAAATCCTTATCGGAAAGCCTAACTCATAGTTTTAACAGGGTCCTCCGTCCTTTACATGAAACATTATATTCGAGAACAAAAACGCATTTCAGAGTTTCCAAAGAGTTAATGGCCAAAGCTTATATCCCAGGCAGCATAGGACCAAGATCATCACACTACTGTCAGTCACGGCAGACGGTGGCTCCTATAGGGGTGGCAGAAGTTGTGAGGTCTGTTGCGATGGCTTTAGTCTTTAGAGTAGCAATGCAATTCGCCGGACTTTTATTATCTTTGCTGGGATGGGTTTTAGCCATTATTACAACTTATTTGCCACATTGGAAAAACCTCAACCTGGACCTGAACGAAATGGAGAACTGGACCGTGGGGCTCTGGCAAGCCTGCGTCACCCAGGAGGAGGTGGGCACGCAGTGCAAGGACTTCGATTCCTTCCTGGCCCTGCCCGCCGAGCTCAGGGTCTCCAGGGTCCTCATGTTCCTGTCCAACGGGCTGGGGCTCCTGGGCCTGCTGGCCGCCGGCCTCGGCCTGGACTGCCTGAGGCTTGGAGAGTCGCGGCGAGGGCTCAAGAAAGGACTGCTGATCCTGGGAGGGACCGTGCTCTGGGCGGCAGGGGTCGCGGCCCTGGTCCCGGTGTCCTGGGTGGCCCACAGGACGGTCCAGGAGTTCTGGGATGAGACGGTGCCGGAGATCGTGCCCAGGTGGGAGTTTGGGGAAGCCCTGTTTCTGGGCTGGTTTGCTGGCTTTTTCCTCCTCCTGGGAGGGGGCCTGCTGAACTGTGCGGCGTGCTCCACCCAGGCTGCCTGTGCTTCGGGCCACTACACAGGGGCAGAAACGCTAACTCGGTGCCCGTACCTGGAAAATGGGACCGCAGACCCGAGAGTGTGAGACTCTGACAGGACCAGAGAGACGCATCTTTCCACATCCACTATGATGTGGAGTCTTTGTTATGTCACTCAATCTGTGCAGCTCATGTGTTCTCATTAAATAACTGCTTTTCTATTCTAGATCCCCCCTGCCCCCTCTCCCCAAATCTAGAGAAGTAAGAAAGAGGCGAGTCTTATATGTAAAAGAAAATGATCATGGTAAGCATTACATAGGTATGAGCAAAAAATAAGTTCATTGATCTGGTTATTTAAGTCAAAAGGTGGTGATGGTGGTCCATTGTAATCAGTATTGTTTTAATGTGTTAATTTTGTATTAGAAACTTTTTTGTTTTTGTTGGTGGCTGGAAATAATAATATTTAGTTTCTATTTCCTAAAGGAAAAACCCATCTCAAATCCTTTCAACACCCTGCATTAGCGACAGCACATGTTCAGCTTATCCCCAAGTGTTATTGCCACAACAATGGCTTTGGTCTCCTTTGAACAGAGGTGGTTTGTTTGTAGGACATTAGCAGGCCCCCCGTGTGACAGAGTTTTATAGGGCTGATGGTTTTCAGTACTTTACGGCACTCTCAGACTCAGAATACTGGCCAGTCTCCTCTCTTCTCTCTTCCTTCAAAAGCCTCAAGTCTAAAAAAGATAAACGATTCCAAAAATATATTGCGCTTGATATCTGGATATTGACAGTTCACATGCCCTGATAAAAACTTTCCTTTGTTCAATTAAAAAGGATCAGTATGGAGAGATTTGCTTTAGGGGTGTACCGACCAAGATGTTGATTCTGACCTACAAAGTCCTATTGCTTAACTTTTCCTGCAACCCAGAAAGCACATTTAAGCAAAGAAAAAAAAGTGCATGCACACGTGCATGAATTGGACAGGAAGGCACGTAGGCGAGTGGACTGGATATTGAGGGCCCAGGATGGTTTCATGTGTTATGCGGTGTAGGCTGCTTGAAGGTCTTAAAAAAAAAACACCTGGTTTAAGGTCTAGAGGAGATTTCTGATCAATTTATTTGGTTAAGACGGATTTTTTTTCTTGAACCTGCTTCTAAAAAGTGACCACATTCACTATTCCCGCGACACGCGTGCTGAAACAGGAGAGTGATTAAGAGATGGCAACGTGACAGGTGCAGTCAGGAAGACGGTTGCAGAGTGGGAGGAGCCGAACCCGAACTGCCCAGGGACACCCTGCATGTAGACATGATTCTTGGACTCCTTAGAAAGCTCGGGAGCCCCGCGAAAGCCATTTGCGTATTAATGACAGAAGGAGGATGAGTCCTGCCTGATGTGATTTCCCAGACAACTGCCCGACGCCACTCAGTGGCCCCGAGGGCGCGGGTGGCGCTGGCCACACCTCGGCGTTGCTGGTTGGCAGGCTTAGTTCCCTGTCCTCTTCTGAAGCCCGGTGTCAACACGGACTCAAACAATAGCCACTCTGGCAAGAGTCCTTGACACACAATGAAGTCGCCTTGCCGAGCTCCGCAGTGACAGCGTTGGGGTGTCCCACTCTGCGCGGCTGCCCCAGGGCAGGAGCTGGTTTCTGGCTCCGGCGCGGGGCTGGGGGATGATGGCCTTGGAGCCCCGAAGCGTGGCGCAGTTGGCGGGGGCCTCCTTGTCCTTGCTGGGGTGGGTCTTGTCCTGCCTTACAAACTACCTGCCCCAGTGGAAAAACCTCAACCTGGACCTGAACGAAATGGAGAACTGGACCGTGGGGCTCTGGCAAGCCTGCGTCACCCAGGAGGAGGTGGGCACGCAGTGCAAGGACTTCGATTCCTTCCTGGCCCTGCCCGCCGAGCTCAGGGTCTCCAGGGTCCTCATGTTCCTGTCCAACGGGCTGGGGCTCCTGGGCCTGCTGGCCGCCGGCCTCGGCCTGGACTGCCTGAGGCTTGGAGAGTCGCGGCGAGGGCTCAAGAAAGGACTGCTGATCCTGGGAGGGACCGTGCTCTGGGCGGCAGGGGTCGCGGCCCTGGTCCCGGTGTCCTGGGTGGCCCACAGGACGGTCCAGGAGTTCTGGGATGAGACGGTGCCGGAGATCGTGCCCAGGTGGGAGTTTGGGGAAGCCCTGTTTCTGGGCTGGTTTGCTGGCTTTTTCCTCCTCCTGGGAGGGGGCCTGCTGAACTGTGCGGCGTGCTCCACCCAGGCTGCCCGCGCTTCGGGCCACTACGTGGCGGCAGAAACGCAGGATCGCCGTCAGCACCCGGAGACGAACAAAACCCACCTGAAAATCTAAGCCAGAAAGCATCAGTGCCGTCCACTCTTCAAGAGACGCTCACTCCTCTCTGGATTTGGTAGGATCTCCTGCTACACAGCCACCTAGTCACTGTTGCTTTTAATTTTCTAAAATGCATCTCCCCCACCCCAACCCCGTGGCTATTGCCTTCTTAAATTATCATTTCCTTTTAAGACAGTAAAACACTTTTATCTTCTCTTCTGAGTCCAAAACCACTCAAGACTTAATAGTAATCACACTCATTACTGGGGATGAGTTTTCTCAATTTTAAAATAGATGCAGTGATTGCAGAGAACTGGTAAATAAAACATTATATTAGTGCTTACATATCTTTGAAGGTGTTATTCATAGAGATGAATCATTTTGGCAATTGGGAATGTTACTGCTAGTCATTTACTGTGTTCAAGTGTGTAAAATCCCCTATTATATTGAAACTGAAGTCCTTGCATGTTTATGGAGAATGTACATTAGAGCATACTAAAAAATTGCTGGTTCTTTGAAAGCTGAGAGGTGAGAGACGTGGGCTGCATCGTCTCCTTGGTAATCGGAGACCTCAGAGCCTCTATGGAGCCTTCCCCGAAAGCCAGCCACATTCCTTCATTCTGCCCTCACCCAGGGCAGAAGCAGAGGAGGGCAATCTGGTGCCTGGGGAGATTTCATGGAAAATCTGTCACACAGGTGTGCTTTGGCCTGGGTGTCGCGGGCTCTGGGGTAGGAGCCTACTGTTGCCCTCAGCCCTGGCTGCCCCCCCCCCCGCTCTGTGGAGCAACCACAGGGGGCGCTGCAGGTCAGGGTGCCTGGGGAGGCGGGTGTGGGGGGCTTAGGGTAAGGGGCTCCTGAGATCACGGCCCCACGGGAGCACAAGGCTGGGATGGGCAGGGACCACAGAGCTCACCTTGGAGACGCCCTCTTTTACTCTGCACGATGAAAACAGGCTTTTTCTATCAGCAACACGGATCGCCCAACCAAGAACTATTCCCAGCAAACTGCTGACTTCAGAAGTTCCTTCGTGATAGAGTTGATATTTGCTCAGTACCTGGCTCAAGTAAACTCTTGTTGGCACCAATCACGGAAGTTGAACAGTAAAGGACACTGAAATTAAGTTATGAGGCAATATGCATCTTTGTTTTTTAAAAAAAACAAAAAACAAAGAACAAGAAACACTGAACTTTCTTCCACCCACAAACACAGGAAAAGTGCAGAAACCAAAGTTAATCTATGTGATGTATTTGCATACTTTTACAGACGAGACAAATTAAAACAGAAACATATTCAGAATTTAACCTGATTAAATATTTAGTTCAGTCCTGAGCTTTCGATATTTAATACAATATAAAGTAATAGCAAAAAAAAAAAAAAGATTTTAAATTTGATTTGCATGCTACAGAGATTCAGCTAAACTTTGTTCATTTGGCTAGCAATATTTTTTTTTGTACCTGTAACTTAGATTCTGATATACAAAATTATAATAACATACTGATAATTCAGACTTGAGAACTAAATATTACATTCTTTTTACCCTGTGCAGAATAGATTCTACCTTTAAAAAATAGTATTTATAATATTAAAAATTCATATGGTTCATATGGTTTTGTGATCAAGTTATTAAAATGTTTTGTCACTGTGAATCATCTGGGTTAGTACAAATATGATAGAATTGTTAAAAGCTGCCTATAAATACATAACACCATTGCTGATTTTTAAAGTGTGGAGAAGGATTATATTAAAATAAGTTCGTTTCTCGTGTTAGAAATGAGCACATTTTGTAAAATAAAACCAAAAACATCTTGGTCACAACTGTTAACTACCAGCCTGAGACAGATTTTATTCTTTTATACTTGTCTGGAACTTTTTGTATCACAAAAAGTTAACAGCTAATCTGATGAAGACTTATAAAGGTGTAAATATTCTGATATAGCCTCTTCTATGTCAAACATTTAAAATGGCCAGAACCGAACTATATATTAAACAGAACATAAATAAGACCGTAAATAAATAAATGAAGAAAATAAAATCGTACGGTACAACTACACATAATTCTATAAACATTTTCACGGTCAAACTAAGACGCTGAACACAGCTGACCTTCATTTATTTTAGCTCTACATTAAATAAACCTCTGTCTTTCACATTTGACCTTGACAAGGATGAATGGTCTTCTCTTTCTGGTTTTCCTTAGTCATCTGATAGGATGAACCGCGCAGCCTTGAAGAACTGCGTGCAGCCAATTCATGAGGCTTAGTTTTGTTCAAAGTAGTGTCACCTCCGGTTACAGCTTCAAAGACATTTAGATATAAGTGGTGGGACAGCCGAGGAAAAAAAACAATTAAAGTTCTAGGCTCAGAAATTACCTAATTTGAATTTGCATTCTGATAAAATGAACTTTCCAAAATATGTATAATTACTTTCAAGAAACTAAAAATTCTTGCCAGGGATTCTATCTTAGAAACAGAATTTATCATTTTTTTTCCTAAGGGGTCCATTCCTTTAAGATGATTTTTGCATTTCTAAAAAAAGAAAAAAGATTTAATTTGTTATATAAGACGGCTAACCAAAAATTGCCTCTTCCAATAACTGAATGATAAGGATGATTTAAATTGCATAAATACTTTTTATTTTAAAAGCCTTTACACTTGCAGAGCTACACTGTGGATTTAAGCCGGGCCTGGGTTGGATAGGCTAAAATTCTACATAGGAGGACACTTGACTCAGTTTCTCTCTCTCCATTAGTTCATCTAGAATTGTTTTCAGAAACAAATGTCTTGGCCTTTACTTCCAGTGAGTAATCTCCCCAGGCACACTCTTCTCTTGGCCTCCTTACCACAAATTACAGATAGGATCCCCTAAAAATGAGAGCTGCAAAATAATTTCTAGTAAATGTTAGAAGTCTGTTTAATAAAGTCTAAGAAAAATTTTTTTTTGGCAACTTTGATTCAATCAAGATTCCTCTTTCACCGAAGGAGTGCATTTCCCTCCACACGGCTGGTGCTGTCTCTCCCTAGGGGACCGGCTGTCCTGGGTGCCACGCTCCTATAGCTCCTACCTCGGACAGAACCTCAGCAGCACAGCCTTGAAAACTCCCCTTTGAACACGTACACAAATCCAGGTTGTGTTAGAGGCAGCAGGTGCTCGCTGGCGAGCCCATCTGAGTGTGTTTAGGGTACCTGGCTTTCTCCTTGCCTCTCCCTACCCTTAAGGTGACAAATCACAACATCTTCACGGTAGCCAGGAGCACTGCTCCTCTGTGTTCTGAGATTCTCACTCAGCATTTTGTTTCCTTTAGACTAACAAAAGGACAAAAAGGAAATTGTTTTAAGGAAACAGGGGCTTCAACACAGGTGACAGGAGTGAGTGCAACACCTTGTTTCAGGGGGACTTGGAGCTGTACTCCCATTTGACCTCAAACTCAAAGAGCTACTACCCCCCACCCCCAGGTACAAAAATACCACATGGCCTGTTGCCATCCTCACAGTCTGCTCATGAGACAATGAAGGAAAAGCCCAAATCGCCTTCTGCTACACTGAGTTAATTCTCAATAGTTGGTTCAACAGGATATACGCTGGGCGCGGCCTTTATTCCATTTTTACAAAACGCAGCCCACGGCAATATGTATGTACTGGACGACATTTGTGTACCAGATTATCCCATTTTGGTTATCTGATTTTTTTTCTTTTTTAAACATACAAGAATTACATTCAAGGTACTTTACAAATTAACATGTTGAAAATCTGATGTGAAACAAAAGCTCTTTAAGAGTTGACAGTTACGTTACAAAATGACCCCCACCCCCCACCCCCGCCCAAACAAAACAAAACAAATGTTCGGTCTTGTACCCTCCCTAAGAAGTGAACAGGTGACAGGATAATTTCTTTAGGGGCGCAATCATACATCATCAGCTGGCAGGGACGGGATGCTTATCTTCGCCCTGGTGAAGTAGGCAATCTTCTCCCTAGAATTAGGGGTGAGAAATAAACCAACTTGAATGTGATGTCGAAAATACTCGGTGGCCGTTAAAAATAATCCCAACAACCCCAGCGCAGTCTCCGTGATCCTGGGTAGGAGATGTTCTCCTTAGGTGGAACTCCGTACAATCAAGATGGTCCTTCCCCTTTACAGGGGGATATAAAGAAGAACGGCAGCTCTGGCTTACGGTAAGTCACCTACAGACCAAGGCAGTCAGTTCCTTCCTGCATTTCCAGCGTTAGACAGTTTTTCAACCATCAGGGGGTCAGTCATGAGTGCTTCTAAACCGGGTACTTTGCATCTACCTTGCGTCTAGAAGATGCAAGATGTCCAAAGTCCCAGGGAACTTCTCAGGGAGCTCGTAGAAAAGTGTAGGATACTGGGAAAATTCATTAATATCAATACAATGCTAAGGTAAGGGCCACTTGCTGAGTGATACCTTGACCCCGAATGAGGGGAAAAGGAGGCACGTGAGTGCAGTAAAGGTAGATTTGTCCTGCGTCCCAGAACAGGGATAAGAAGAAACAACCCAGAAGGGAGAAGCCAAGAAAGATTGGGGAGAATGGTTTTCAGAGGTTAGGAGAGTATTGAAATAAATAGATAAGTAAATAAATAAGGTTTTAGGATTGTATAGTCCCCAAAGACAGGAACAATATATCCACTTTCATGCAAAATCCTCACATCGTACACATATTTACTCCCATCAACACATATTTACTGAGGATGTGTGATGTTATGCAAGGTGCACTGGTAGCGATAAAGAAAAATGAAGCAAAAAAATAATAATAATGTATCAGCCTTCCTTTGAGAAACTAGGAGTCCATCTAGATGGTGGAGGTAGCCCTGCGTCAAGAAGCAAGTGCTGGGAAAAAAAAAAAGGAAAAGAAAAAAGAAAAAAAAAAAAAAGCAAGTGCTGAGGTGGAAAAGCACTAAAGACTAAGGGAAGGAGGGAGAAGAATGGGAGAGCGACACAATTGTGGGAACTGGAACAACAGCTGACTTTGTGGGTTGCGTCCTTCGTAATCTGTTCTATTCCATAAGACATGAAGGCAACACTTAAAAAAAAAGGCAAGGGAGTGTGACCATGATGTTACCGAAGGCCCATTACCCCGCCTCCTGACTTGGAAGCTCCTGTGACGAATTGGGGCACAGGGTGGGACGCACAGGTGGTGGAGCAGGTGCCAGCAGCAGGCACCCCAGACGCCCCGGCCCCGGGGGAGCATCCTAGGAGGAAGGGTCCGGGAGCGTCTGTTCAGTGAGTGACAACAAAAGCCCCGATGTCCTGTGTCTCTCTGTCCGTCCTCAGTGAGATATGCCAGCTGCTAAGAGCAGGGGCACCCTGAGCTCTTGGGACCAGGCACTAATGGGTCAGGGCACCGCCGGGGGCGTCTGTGACCTTGGAAGGAGCAGATGGAAGCATCACCCCGGTAGGAGAGGATTCGGGGTCTCCTATGCTAACGCACTTCCAGCATCACTCAGACCACACGAGGTCAAGCCCAAGTGGGGCGGAGCGGGGCACTTCACCTGAAGGACTGCACCTGCCGAGGCACCTTCCGGCTCTGCTCCCGGAGCCGGCACACGTCCTTGGAGACCTGCCTCATCAGCTTCTCTGCATTCAGACCTTGCTTCTGCTCTTCCTTGGACTGTTCAGCCTGGCAAGGGAAATAAAAACACAGAGCCCCACGGAACTAATTAGAAAGTTCTGAAGACACAGAGCCTGGGCACTTAGCCGGGAGGGCGGTGATGGGTGTGTGTCCTCCCACCGGCAGGGGTAACAGTCGCACCCCCCTCATGTAGCTGTGGTGCAGTCGCAGGTTTATTTCACTGCATTTCAAAGATCTCACTGTGCAGGTAACGTGTGATCATCGTATTACGTCTGGAAAACCTAAGAACCCTCAAAACAGAAATGAAAAACTACTTCCAGCACTATGACCAAGTACTATCTCCTAATGTTTCAACCTCTTATTCATCTTTCCGAATTTTTTATCTTACCCATTGTAAAAGAGTCTACTGAAGCAGGATTTACACACCAGGTTAGCTTCTTTTACTTAGAATTATGGATTTAAGGTTCTTACATGTGCTTCCATGGCTTGATTGCTCATTTCTTTTTAGCGCTGAGTACTAGTCC